CTCTCCTCTCTCACTCTCTTTTTAAAAAAAAAAAAAAAAGACTGCTTAAGTAGACATCCAGGGTGTGGAATACCACCTTGGCCATGCCAGCTCATCAGTACCACATGCTCACTGCCCACAGGAACATGGATGTGACCTCAGACCCTGCTTCATGCAGGCCAACTCAGGCCCTGAGGATGAGTCTAGTTGCCTGAGGAAAATCCTACCCTCTGCCTGCGATCATCAACAGTTAACTCAGAAATGGGCATGTGTCTCAACTTGGGCCAATGTGGGGAGGTACGCCAGGTTCTAGAGAGCCTCTAGAAGTAAACTTCTTCTTTCCACTGGATGTATTTCTGGTCCAGGACAGAACTGGGAATGGCAGCAGCCATTTTGCCACCAACCTGAGAATAAGACAATACATGGGCCCAAAAGATAAAAAAGAAGTGGAGATTAAACCAAACTCAAAAGTTCACTTCACTTATGGACACTTAGTTAGGTTAGACAATACATGTTGCATTAGACAGCCTTCTATTGCTATAACAAAGTACCTGAGATAATCAACTTAAAAAGCTGGGTTTGTAGCTCAGTGATAGGGCACTTGTCTGGTATATGCAAGGTCCTAGTTTCCATCCTTAGCATTATCAAGAAAAAAAAATGGAGAGAATATTTTTTTTAATTTAATTTAATTTATTTATTTTTAAGTTTTCAGCGGACACAACATTTGGTATGTGGTGCTGAGGATCGAACCCCGGGCCGCACACACGCCAGGCGAGCGCGCTACCACTTGAGCCACATCCCCAGCCCTGGAGAGAATATTTTGACTCAGGGTTTCAGAGGTCTCATTCCACGATCATATTGGTCTTGTTGCTTTGGGAGTGTGGTGAGACGGTTTCTCATGGCAGTAGTGCTTTAGCAAAATTGGTCATCTCATGACCAAACTATGAAAGAGAGAGAGGAAGGGGCTGGGCTCCCAATATCTTCTTCAAGGGCATGCCCCAATGACAAGAAAACCTCCCACTAGGCTCCATCTCTTTTTTTAAATTTTTATTTATTTATTTATTTTTAAAGCTTTTTTTTTTTTGTATACCTTTATTTTATTCATTTATTTGTATGTGGTGCTGAGGATCAAACCCAGGGTCTTGCATGTACAAGGCAAACATTCTACCACTGAGCCACAACCCCAGCCCCTATTTATTTATTTTTTGGTAGTGAAGATGGTCAGAATGCCATCATTTTATTTATTTATTTTTATGTGGTGCTAAGGATTGAACCCAGTGCTTCACGCATGCTAGGCAAGTGTTCTGCCACTGAGCTATAGCCCCAGCCCCTAGGCTTCATCTCTTAAAGGTTCTACTGAAAGGGTAAAGTTTCTAAGCTGGAAAGCTTGAATGTAAAAGATTAGGTATTATTAAGTTCCTCTGTTACACCCAGAACCTGGAATTCCTGAGATAGTTAAAACAATGCCCCTACTGGCCATTTAGCCTAGGGCCCTGTACAGTTTGTCACAGGGCCCGAACCAATCAGTTTGAATGTGTAACCCGCTTACGAATGACCAATCACCCTCGCCCGAATGTGCCAATCACGTCTCAGAGTTGTTGTTCAATTTCCCCGCGCCTCATGGTGATTTGTTCTGATGTATGCAAAGCCCACCGACCTCTCCAAAAAGTGTACTTAAGCCCTGCTTGACCTTTGCTCTGGGCTCTGGGCTGCTCTCCTTCCTTGAGTGAGCAGAGTCCCAGCGCGCTGGAATGGATCCCCAATAAATATCCCCTTTTGCCAATTGCATGGAGTCAGTTTCTTGGGTGGTCTCTCCCTCCAACGTTTCACCAGACCCTTACACTACCACCTCACAATAGTGCTACAGGGTAGGAAACATGTCTTTAATCTATGGATCTTTGGGGGAAACTTATGCACATGTCCTTATTGGTTAAACCAGTTCAAGTTATGCTTCTTGGTCCTCTGCAGCAGAAATCATCATCACTCATGGCTCTGGGACAATCCCCAGACAACCAAATGATAAAATAACAATAACCATGCATTACTTCCCACTGAAAGGCAGCATGTCCCCATTTTCACACAGGAAAATGAAAGTTCAGAGAAGCTAGGTAACATCCCAAGGTCACACAGGTCACATGAGATGGTAGAACTTTAACCATTAGACTTCCACTCTAGAGTTTAGTTTTGTTTGTGGTGCTGGGGATGAAACTCAGGACCCTGCTCATGCTAGGTGAGTGCTCTACCACTGAGCTACATCCCAGCCCCAGAATCTATGTTCTTTATCCTGGCAACTTCAGAGAGAGGGAAGAAGCAAAATAACTTTTAAAATGATTAAGGAACTTAGAAAGCTCAGTGGTTTGTGGTCACTTAGTAAAGGGACAGATGGTCCTTATACCTCAGTAGACAAAGAGCACCAGGGTGCTTACAATATTGAGTTTACAAGAGAGTGTGCTACTTACTATTGCAGATATGAGGGAACAGATTTTTTTTTAGAAAAACCATTATCTAAATAGGTTTTTTATTGGAGATTGAACCCAGGGGCACCACTGAGCTGTATTCCCAGCCTTTTTTATTTGAGACAGTCTAAGTTGTTTAGAGCTTCACTAATTTGCTGAGGATGTCCTTGAATTTGCAATCCTCCTGCCTCAATCTCCTAAATCACTGGGATGACAGGCATGTGCCACCATATCCAACTAAATAGGTTTTAAAAGATTTCCATCCAGGTATGGTAGTGTATTCCTGTAATCCCAGAAGCCAGGGAGGCTGAAACAGGAGGATCACAAATTCAAAGCTAGCCTCAGCAATTTAGTGAAGCCCCTAAGTAACTTAGGGAGACCAAGTCTCAAAATAAAACATAAAAAGGGCTAGGGATTAAAAAAAAAAAAAGTGGCGGGGAAGCTAGGGATGTGGCTTAGTAATTAAGTTCCCCTAGTTCAAAAAAGGAAAAAAAAATTCAAACAGGAGCCAGGCACAGTGGTACATGCCTGGTACTTGGGAGGCTGTTAGGAAGATCCCTAATCCCTCATATGTATGGGATTACATAGTATATGACCTGTCAAATTCATCTTTTTTTTTTTTTTTTTGGTTCGAGAATTGAACCCAGGGTTGCTCAACTACTGAGTCACATCCTAAGCCCTTTTTTATACTTTATTTAAGAATCCGAGGTACTTGGGAGGCTGTTAAGAAGATCACAAGTTGAGGTGGCTGGGGTGTGGTGGCTCAGTGGTAGAGCATTTGCCTAGCATGTGTGAGGCACTGGGTTCAATTCTCAGCACTGCACATAAATAAATGAATAAAATAAAGGCTTAAAAAAAAAGAGAGAGAGAACTGCTACTTGACATCTCCACCTAGATCTGCAATTTAGGCCCCTGAGCTTTTGATCCGTCCCCAACCAGTCCCATCCATGTGCTTTCTCATTTCAGTCAATGGAAATTCCATTCTTCAGTCAAATCCCCAAGGTCACCCTCAGCAGTTCCCTCCTCTTAGAACTCTGTTGCTCTACCCCCTAGCACCTCCATGGCTACCACCTGGTCTGAGGCACCTTGAGTCTCACCTGAATTATTACAACTGCTTCCTCATGGGTCCCCCTGGTTCCACTCTGGACCCACCCACAGTCCCCTCTCAGGACGGCAGCCTGGGTGCTGGGGTGAAACTGTGTCGGACATGCTGATCTAAGTTAGTTAGGTCAGGTGGCTTCTCTTTCTTCAACTCCAGTGGCTCCATCTCAGAGTAAAGCCAACCTGGCATCAAGGCCCTACCTGTTCTGATCTTGGCTCCTCTTCCCGTTGTGCTCCAGCCACAATGGCCTCTTCGTTGTCTTTCAGGCTGCAGGACCTTTGCAGACCTGTCCCCTGGCCTGCTCTGCCTTCCTTCAGACCTCCACGTGGCTTGCCCGTTCACTTACCTATTCGCTCCTCCTTCTCCTCTGTAGCACCAAGAGCCTCTAATTAATTTCCTTACTGGTTTGTCTGTCCCCCTTGCTTGGAAGTCAGCTCTGGGAAGTCTGGGGTGTTTTGTCTGTTTTTGTTTTGAGGTGCTGGGACTGAACCCAGGGCCTTGTGCAAGCAAATGCTCTACCACAGAGCCGCGCCCCCCACCCCCCAGTCCATTTTTGAAGTGTCTTTTACTGCTATAACCCCCAGTGCCTGGTCCTGGCTCACTGAATGAAGGGAACACCAGAAGAAGGGACTTGCCCAAGGTCATAGCCATTCAAAATTAATGACTTTCCTTTTGGGAAGAAATAAAGCACCAAGCCTCCAGCTCTGGCCTAAAGCCCTTCTCACAGTCATGCCAAGTCCTTGATCCTCACCACAGGGCAGAGCCCAGGGACAGTCCAACCACAGAGGTGTCTGCTAGACTTTGCCGGGACAGGAGTGCTCACACCACCCAGTGGGTCCACCATGGAGAGAGGTAAGGAAGGGGCTTCTCTGAAGACACCAGGGTGTTGATCCTGTCCTGGTAGAGGCCAAGGCAGCTAGCCACCGAAGGCCAAGGGACTTCTCCCTCCTGCTCTGACTCAACTGCACTCATGGGAGACAGGCCCAGGCCCAGCCCTATGCTTATGCAGATGGGAGGGAAGGAAGGCACATTTTCCAAGCAGTTGCTGCTGGGGGTGACCCTACATAGGGGCAGGTTCCAAATGCCCCTCCCTCTATTCCAGGTTTCAAACCCAGGAGAGCAGAGGGCACCCAGGCCCAGATGGTCCAGGGCCTAGAATCTGGCGCCCTCTGGTGGCACCACTGGTTAGGGCCAGAGGTGAAACTTGTACCTCCTCTGAGCTCCAAAGATAGGAGTGGTCAGGGAACAGCTGGAATCAGCAGCTCTGGGTCTGGCCTGGGCCTACCTTGTCCAACAGCAAAGAAGGAGTGGCCCTTGTCCAATAACACACAGCAAGGAGGTGACGCCAGCCTAGCCTGACTCCTCCTCTGGCTGCCCTCCCCTCTGTTCCTCATCTCTAGATAGGGAAAGCCTCCCTCCCAGGCCAGCAGAGACGCAGAGGCTTGGCCATTTGTTAAAAAGTATAAAGTGCAAATACATCTGGCTTTTATTGAGGTTACTCTGTGCTTAACACCAGGTCTGCAGGGCTCTACCTCCCACTTCCACCTCCCTGAACTTCCCATTGCCAGGAAAGAAGGTGCTGGTGAGACCCAGGTGTTGAGCAGGGGACGCTGTTGATGTGGAGGTAGAAGGGACAGAAGAGACCAGTGGCTGAGTCTTTAGGGAGGGCAGGGATCCAGGAATCTGCCCACCATGAAACTGAGAGCTGAGGAGCCCCCTCTGTCCCTCTACCTGGGGCTATGAGCCAGGCCCAGCAGGGTCAGGAGTCTTTGAATCCTACCCTTTTGCCAAGTGACCTCTGGGAAACAGGATCCATTTCTGAGTGGTTTCTCCCAACCTAGACTGGTCCAGAGGCAGAGTGGCCAAGTCTAAGGTGACAGCCAGATCTCTCTGGCTTTGTGGCTTCTGGGCGCAGCTCCTGCCAGCAATACCTCTGCTCCTATGCACTCCTTTGGAGTCACTGTTTGGACCTGATGGGACAGAGGTGGAAGAAGCAGGAACAGAAAAACAGAAAGAACTGGAGTCAGATGCAATCTGAGAGAGACAAACACCAACAGGTACAGAGAACAGCCAGAGCAAGAGCGAATCAAAGACACAATGAGACAAAGACAAAGCCAGTGATAGAACAAGAGAAGATGGCTGAGGAGATGAAACATGTCCAGACTCAGCCCAGTGAATGGGGCCTCACCTAGAGCTCATCCCGGGGCTGGGGATGGAGGCTGTGCCCACTGCTACCAGCCAGATCCAGGACAGGGCCACGCAGGGTCTTTTGAGAGCCAGTCCAGCTGATGAGGCGGCCACTGTCATCGTCCCAAGGAGAGGATGTCTCTGTGTCACTGAGCCACTCAGCGTCCCCTGCATAGTGGGTGGGGGCAGCGAGCAGGGGCTGGGCAGAGAAGGCCTGCAGGTCCCTTGGCCAGAAGTGTGCCTTGTACTGCTCACTGTGAAACAGGAAGACAGTTCAGGTGGGCCAAGGTGGGCCCCTGATCCCTGACCCCATAGCAGCCAGGAGCCTGGTGCCTCCCCTCCCCTCACCGCCCTCCCCACTGGTCCTTACAATAGCCCTGAGAAGTAAGACTTCTATTATTCCCATTTTCCATATAAGGAAACTGAGGCTTATAACGGGGAAGCCATTTGATTAAAACCATGAGGGTGGGGGCCTGGGTTGTGGCTCAGTAATAGAGCGCTTGCCTAGTATGCATGAGGCACTGGGTTTGATCCCTGGTACCGCATAAAAATAGAAACAAACAAAATAAACGTATTTTGTCCACCTACAACTAAAAAAAAAAAACCATGAGGGCAGCAAGGCACTCACATGCAGCTGGGTCTGACCAGTGGTCACTCTTGGGTGACCTGGGCCTGATCAGGCTCCACCTCCCCAGCTGCCCAGCGAGGGAACTTATTGAGACAGGCTCCTGGATGGGACACCCCTGCCCTGCCCAGCCCCAGCAGAGCCTCACTTGGGGTGCTGGTCAAACATGATGGGCAGGAACTCGTCCACAGGCAGCATGCGGTGTAGAGGCTGGGAAGCCAGCAGCTTGCGGGCGCCTGCCAGGCTCAGAGTATATGCCAGTGTCCAATAGGAGTACCCTGCCACCACCAGGCCTGGTAGTCCCTCCACAGCCACCTCCTCCTCAGGGTTCACCTGCTTTCGGCCAAGGTAGCTGCAAGTAAATCAAGGGCCCCAGAAGCCACTGTAGGTCCCGGGGTGTCAAGTCCCCTCTCAGCCAGGTTCAGGGGTGGGAAGTGGCCAGGACTCCAAGCAGGACATAGCCAGCCCTCTCCCTTCCCCCTGGGGTGCAGGCTGCCTACATGAGGTCCCACGGAAGCTTCCGGGCCTCCACCTCCTCCATCAGCTGCTTCAGTCGCCCCCGGAAGTTGCTCTGAAAGCGCACGTCGTCCTCAAATACCAGCACCCGGGCCAAACCCCTGGCCACTACCTGTGGTACATGGTAGGGATAGGGAGATGGCTCTACAGATTTGAGCTACCCACTTCCCATCTGCCTTCCTTAGCCAAGGCTCACACAGTGACTCCCAAGCCCAGCGGGGCTGCCACTGCCTACGAAATGAAATTCGGGCCCTCCCCAAGATCCCCAGCCTAGTTTGCCAAAAGGAAATATTTGGCAATCACCACCCTTGCTGTGGTCACTGAGCTCTGCTCTATCCCTGGGGCTAGTGCTACCATTCACCTCCAGGGATACCCAGGAGGCGGGAACGTGACCCCCCATGACAGGAAGGAGGTGAGACTGCCCAGCCAAGGGCGCACAGCAGACCTGCAACTGCTGGGCTCCAGGACTTGGCTCATCTCTTCAGCCTCCTGAGCTTCTGGAAGGACGCTGGGCTGGATGGGGGTGAGGGGAGACCCCAGCCCCCAACATTGCAAAGAAAAAATACTTTCTGTAACTTTGGAAATGTGAAAAGAACATGAAATCAGCTCAGTAAATGATGAACCACGTCATCCTTCAATTTGCTCAGATGGGAAAAATCAACCATAAATGTAAACATGAGGTCACACACATACATACATATTGTGGCTATAGAAGAAAATAAAACAAGAAGTTGGGTGCCATGGTGCACACCTTAAATGCTAGCTACTCATGAGACTGAGGCAGGAGGATTGAAAGTTTGTCTCAGCAAGTTAGTGAGACTCTGACTCAAAAATAAAGAAGAAAGAATAAAAAGGTCTGGGACGTAGCTCAGTGGTTGAGTGCCCTGGGTTCAATTCCCAGCACTATAAAATCAAAACAAATGAAAATAAAAACAAGGACTGAATCTGCACACCGTTGCTGGAGATTGGAGGGCCCAGCCCCCTGACCCCTGGCTGAGGCCTCTGGGCCAAGGGATGAGCAAGGCCACGCCTTGGGCCTTCCTGTCTCTGTTCCTGAAAAGCCCTTGCTTTCTCTGCACCTTTGCCACAGTTTCACTCTGCCTGCGGCCCACATGGCAACCTGGGCAGCAGACAGGGCCACTGCACTGTGGGGACAGCCTGCGCTTCTCTCCCCTGCGAGTTTGGTTCTTTCTTGAGTTCTGTGCCCATCTCTGGTCCCTGAGCTCCAGGCAGATCCCCCTCTGGCAGGAAGGAGACAGATGTGCCTTCTTCTTGTTCTGTGTGTTCCTCGACAGAATATCTGCTAGCACCCAGCAGATGGTCAGTTGAGACTGTGGAGTGAACCAGGGCACCCTCTGTGGACACGGAGAAGGCCTAGAGGTGCTGGCTAGGCTTTGTGGATTCATTCATTCACTCATTTACCTGCACACACCTGAGTGCTGGGAAAACAATCATGCCTAGGACAAGCCAGCCCCTGATGTCCCTGAAGGGCGTGGCCCAGAAGGCAGGTATCCTCACCTCTTCCCAGATGGAGTAGTGGCTGAGGAAGCAGCCCACCTCACCCTTGGTCAGTGTGCGACCCGAGTAGGGGTCCTGGTAGCCAGGAAGCAGGTCCACGCCAAGGCTCCTGAGGATACTGCTATTGAGCATCCTGCGGGACACAGGTGTAATGGAATCTCAGGTGCCAGCCAGAGACTCCTCCAGAGGGCCTCACCAGCACATGTTGGTGACAGTCACACCAGAGTCTAGCTCAAAGGAGGTTTAAGCCCTGTAATTCCTTTTTGTGGTCTAAAGCTGTCAGTGACTGGAGGGAACCAGCATCACCTCAGGAGGTCCTGAGCTCCACAGAGGGGGCTGCCTGGGGGGAAGCCCCCCAAGGTGAACATGGGCACCGTGGTAGCAACTTCTCGGGCAGATGACCAAGCAAAGGATGGACATCCTACAGGCAAAAGCACTGGGGGTGGGCTGGGCACATAGCTCAATGCTAAAGCACTGTCCTAGTATGCACAAGAGCCTGCGTTCCATCCGAGCACTGAAGGGAAAGAAAGAGAGAGAGGGCTCAAACTGTGACAGGGATACAGGCCACAAGGCTGGCTGGCTGGAGAAACCTGGCCTTGGCATTCCCCAAGGAATATGGCTGGGCTGTACCCACCCCCACCCATCAGGGACCTAAGTCCAGGATGGAGGGGAGTGGTATCAAGGACACTTGACCCTTTACAGCACTAAGAGGTGTTGAGCTCTGGCTGAATCTTCACTGGACCCTTGCAAAACAGGAAGAGCCAGGCAGGATTATTTGCCATTTACAGAACAGGGCAGAGAGATGGGGGCAACTTGCCCAAGGTCACAGAGCTGGAAAGTGGCAGTGCAGAACCCAGGTCTGGAGCCTTAGCCACTCTACCTCTTCCCTCTAGTGGACTGAGCAAGGGTGTTCTGTCCTGCATCTGTCTGCCCTGGAATTCCCTAAGACCTATTCTTCAGGCCCTATTTGGATGCTTCCTGGAACAGGCAACTAATTCAACTCTTCCGCTTTACCCACTCCCAGGAGCTCAGAGATGGACTAGGCTGTCCCCTTGGATCCCATCCACAAGAAGCCTCACCTGCCATCCACAGCGTCCACTACCCGCCCAGAGATCTCCATCTCCCAGAGCGAGCTCAGCATGCGCTCTCGGCGGTTGGGCCTGCGGGCCAGGCTGATGACAAAGACCTGGAGGAGACAGAGTGGTGGTGGTGGTGGGGGTGGGGGTGGGG